TGCTCGTCGTAATTGCAAAACTGTGTTGGGCAAAAATGTGCTGTGTGTGGGACGTGTGCGGCCCTTTAAATAATTACCTATTTACAAATTCCAAGTATTAAAAATAATAGTTTTAATTTTTAAATCAAGTAGTGATGGTTTTGTATTAATTTAAAATAGTTTAAAAGAATATTTCATCAATTAATTTATATGTAATATCTTTAAGCAACATTGCAGACAGAACTTAAAACCTTCTTTTTATTTACCTATTCATCCAACTTTTTACAAACAAAGTGAAGGCATTAAACAGAATGTACCTACAAGCAAATAACTATAATATCCGTATTTATACTTAGTACTCGCTATACATATCTTTGGGTTAAGGTTGAACCAATATTTCTAAATATTCCTTCTATAATAATATATTGAATCCTATTAATTTCTTTTGCAGGTATTGATGTAAATGTAAATCAAATAGTTAAACATCATAATTTATAAGTAATATATGTCCGGTAGGCTTCTATTGCAACGAAGAATCACTAGTTATGTTGCAATATGCATTTATTTGTACATTATACATGCATTGCATTGTTCATTTGTAGTCAATAAAATTTACGAAATTAAATAGATAGGTATTTGATTTTTTCATCTGTTACGAATTGTATTATGTAAAAAAGATAAATCTTAATTTACGGGTACGAATAAAAATCTGCCATGAGCCAGTTATTCAAATATCTGATGGTGCGCAACTGATGTATAATTGTATATAGATGTATATAGCTATTCTATCGGCCTTATCACCGATATTATAAATAGGAAGACATTTGTACTTTACTAGAAATGTGGAAAAGTTCCATTCGTTAAAGACAGGTTGTATATAAACACAAGACGAGCCTCAAACCATTCTGTATAAGCTTTAAGTATAAATGGAGACATATTCACCTTAGTAGTTGTTTTTTTGTTTTATATTTTTGATAGCCTCTTGTAAGATCCTCTCCTTTTTCACAATAGCTTAAATATATAGTGTAATTTGATTTTTTGACTACAATCTAGAATAAAAGCGTTAAATCCGCGAATAGATTGTAAAGAGTGATGCTTGATTTGAAAGCTAATTTTATTGGTAATTTAGTGCATAACATAATAAAACATAATTTAATTAAACCTAAATATGACTAATAATGCTAGAATTAAATCAATTTAACTTAAATCGCATTCAATTAAAATTAGAATGAAGTTATATAATGCTTTGCATTCTTATACTTTTCACAATTTTCTTTAGAATGAATAAGCCTCATCCCTTTATAAAGATTGTTTCTTCCTGGAGATTTCAATTTGATACCGTTTCTTGTTTCTGAGTCAATAGGCGTTGTCTCCTTATAGAACTTGATTTTTGCTAAAAAAATTTAAGTTCATATCATTTTTCCTCTTTTTTCCAAGTCTCCTTATAAAGCTTAATTTTTGTTAAAAATTTCAAGTTGATATCTTTTCGTTTTCTAATGTTTCAACCTTCCTTAACCCTCCATTTTTATTCAGATTTTTTTCAAAATCAGTATGCTTCGTCCCCTTATAGAGCTTAATTTTTCATGAAGTTTTTTACTTATCGTGCAGACAAAAAACCTGACAGACAGACGGACCAAGCGAATGAATAATACTCTTCACAGATGTGTGAGTATAATAACAAATTTATGCTACGCATTAAATTACTAATAAAATTCGCTTTTAAATGAAGTGTCATAATTTAAAATACGTAACTGTTTTTTATCAAATGATTTGTCTCTTTAGGTAATGGTCAAAAGGGGAAAATCATTTACTAACCACCTTTAGTGTATTTTTTTGGTTTTTCTACTTTAACGCAAAAAATAAATAGTGTAAAAAAGCTTAAAAAATGATTTTCCAAAAATTTAATATCTGTGCTTCATTAGAATGTTGTTTCCCTACAACAAAAAGTTTTTTGTTTAATTAAATTTTACCCTCAATTTAGATCCTCTAAATTTTTATAGATTTTTATAGATTTTTATAGATTTTTATAGATTTTTATAAATTTTTATAGATTTTTATAGATTTTTATAGATTTTTATAGATTTTTATAGATTTTTATAGATTTTTATAGATTTTTATAGATTTTTATAGATTTTTATAGATTTTTATAGATTTTTAAAGATTTTTATAAATTTTTATAGATTTTTATAGATTTTTATAGATTTTTATCGATTTTTATAGATTTTTATAGATTTTTATAGATTTTTATAGATTTTTATAGATTTTTATAGATTTTTATAGATTTTTATAGATTTTTATAGATTTTTATAGATTTTTATAGATTTTTATAGATTTTTATAGATTTTTATAGATTTTTATAGATTTTTATAGATTTTTATAGATTTTTATAGATTTTTATAGATTTTTATAGATTTTTATAGATTTTTATAGATTTTTATAGATTTTTATAGATTTTTATAGATTTTTATAGATTTTTATAGATTTTTATAGATTTTTATAGATTTTTATAGATTTTTATAGATTTTTATAGATTTTTATAGATTTTTATAGATTTTTATAGATTTTTATAGATTTTTATAGATTTTTATAGATTTTTATAGATTTTTATAGATTTTTATAGATTTTTATAGATTTTTATAGATTTTTATAGATTTTTATAGATTTTTATAGATTTTTATAGATTTTTATAGATTTTTATAGATTTTTATAGATTTTTATAGATTTTTATAGATTTTTATAGATTTTTATAGATTTTTATAGATTTTTATAGATTTTTATAGATTTTTATAGATTTTTATAGATTTTTATAAATTTTTATAGATTTTTATAAATTTTTATAGATTTTTATCGATTTTTATAGATTTTTATAGATTTTTATAGATTTTTATAGATTTTTATAGATTTTTATAGATTTTTATAGATTTTTATAGATTTTTATAGATTTTTATAGATTTTTATAGATTTTTATAGATTTTTATAGATTTTTATAGATTTTTATTGATTTTTATTGATTTTTATTGATTTTTATTGATTTTTATTGAAATTTATTGATTTTTATTGATTTTTATTGATTTTTATTGATTTTTATTGATTTTTATTGATTTTTATTGATTTTTATTGATTTTTATTGATTTTTATTGATTTTTATTGATTTTTATTGATTTTTATTGATTTTTATTGATTTTTATTGATTTTTATTGATTTTTATTGATTTTTATTGATTTTTATTGATTTTTATTGATTTTTATTGATTTTTATTGATTTTTATTGATTTTTATTGATTTTTATTGATTTTTATTGATTTTTATTGATTTTTATTGATTTTTATTGATTTTTATTGATTTTTATTGATTTTTATTGATTTTTATTGATTTTTATTGATTTTTATTGATTTTTATAGACTTTTTATAGAGTTGTATAGACTTTTTTTGGTTTTTACAAATTTTTACAGATTTTTACTCATTTTTACTGATTTTACTGATTTTACAGATTTATACAAATTTTTACATGAGTTCAATTAAAGTGACATAGATCTGAAGCCTATTAACTTTTTTCTTTGGAGTTATTTAAAAACATGTTTATAAAACAAAAATGTAAAATGCAGGCGAAATAAAGTTTCCAGATAGTTCTCAAATAGTTTAAAATAAGACTCTTTATTGTATAAAATTTAAAGAATACGGGAACATATTTTAAATTTCTTTTTAAATTAAATATTACTTTTTAGAAGTGATTTTCTAACTGAAACCATTCGAATTATATTTCTTTATGTTATGATTCATTTCAGTCCTTTTAAGTCCTTCATAAAGGTCATTTTATTATTTATTTATAGGTAGTTGTTCTTTGACACCGTTAATGTTTTTCTTCTGCTCTTCAGTTATTTTATTGTGACAGCTATTATAGAGCTTTTTTGTTTTTAGATTGTTTTTATGACTGCTATACTGCCAAAAAGCGGTATCTCAGTTGAAGCGAGTTTCGAGAAAATACACATTTTATAAAAAAATTTCTCGCGTTCCTCGAGTCGAAAAAAATAATTTAGGTACCGCTGGATTACTTTAAATTATTTTTTCTACATCCCCAATGAATATTAGCTTATCTACGCACAAAAGTATGCTATTACCTTCAACTGAACGAATATATTTCATATCCATTCTAGATAGTAAGAACACTGCAAAAAAATGAAATTCACCAATCACCGTTCATATTTTGATCAACCGACTGCTATTATTTTTAAAATTTAAACTGTGACAATTCTGTCAAACTAATTGTCAGTATATTTTTTAGTTATTGGGATTAAACATACAATAAATGGGTTATTCTTGTGTAGAATCGATAAATAATAGCATTTCTGTTTTTATTTCGTCTATAATTATATATAATTTGTTAATTTAAATAAAATGATATGAAGTCAATTTAATTGCGAGGAACAAAAATAAAAGAATAGGTGGTCCTGTGGTTAGCGTTCTTGCCTTTCACACGGAAGACTTGAGTTCGATTCTCGGATGGGGGAAAATGAAATGAACTATTTTTCTTTTTTTTTATTATTAAAAGTCATAAATTATTTTAAAATTAGTTATTTTGTCTTAATAACCTAAAATATTTATTTTGTAAATTTTCGTTAGTGGTTCAAGTGAATTGTCTACATCGTACGTCATTTAGCTCAATAATAATGGCCCACCCCAAAGTCTTTTAGTAAATACAAGTGAAGTTGAGATATGTAAATTTGTTTTAGGATTTTTTTTTTGATACTCTGAGTGACATTTTGCTACTTTTCTTAGTTCATCTGATGCAGAATTTTTTAAATAGAAAAGTCGTTTTTTTGAGATACCGCTTTTTGGCATAGGAGAGCAGTATAAATAAAAACACAAGTATAAACAAATGTAAAAGTACTTATCGACTATTTCAACTTTATTTATTAAATTATTGTATTTGTATTGTAAATTGATGTTTTGATTTATTTTACTGTAGTAAATAAAATTTATTATTATTATTCAAAATTTCAAAATCTTATAAAAAAATCTTACCGTAACAAATTGACTGGGTATTTCTCTCCCTATACTGATTAATCCTTTCTTTAATTCTCTCCTTCAAGTTCAATGCCGTCTTTAGTTGCAACCGCGCTTGTTGTCTACGGGACAGCCGCTGCTGTTGCCAGATTTGACCCCTACACACCACCGTCGTTAATAAGCAAACTATCACGACACTTTGGACGAGCATCATTTCTCATTCAGTTCATGCGATGTTCTTTTTTTTCAACTTTTCTTAGCATATTTGCCCATTTCGCGTGACAAACTGATACAAGCATGAGTGAAGAATTGATGATATCGAGTTGCAATTTGAGCGTACATTGTGCCGGTATATCTCCTTCTTTACTTTCACTTTTTGCTGCTGACTTGCATGGATGATGGGGCTAGTAGGTTTTGATTTAACGACGTGCTATAGGGATTGATTATCGTCACATAAGGGCTATATAAGTTCAAAAATGTTTCTTTTTAGTATGTACAGGGTGTCTGTAAAAGGTCTTTACAAAAACATACCACATATTCCTTAGACCAAAATAAGTCGATTTAAGTAAAATTACCTTAGTACAAAGTTGCTTCGTTTGGGATCCAGAGGGTCTTGAAGTTACAATTTTTAAATCGTTTTTCCCATATAAATTTAAAACGGCATATGCGATTTTGCTGAAATTTGGTATATTGGTAGAGTTTTATGTGGAAAAAAAATGGTATTAAAATTTTGTCCGATTATAATACATAGGCGTAGAACTTGATTTTTTAAATAATTGCACCTTTAAAAATTCTACGCCAATGGAAGAAAAGGAGTTTGAGTATGAAATTTAGATTGCGCAACTCATTTACTTTAAAAAAGGTATTCTTGATAAGACTCTCATGGTTTTTGCTAAATTTCTGTTTTATCCTTTCCATAATTTCATCACCTCTAAGATTGTTTATTGCATCTTGAATACGTTGCCAGAGTTGTTCCTCATTTTCTACAGGTTCCCTGTAAACTGTGGATTTCAAATGTCCCCATAAAAAGTAATCCATCGGTGTTAGGTCTGGGGAACGTGGTGGCCAGTCTAGGTGCGTCATTACCTCTGCCTATCCATTTGTGTGGATATTGTTCATTCAAGTGGTTTCTAACGTTTAAAAAAAATGTGGTGGAGCTCCATCTTGCATAAACCACATATCTCTCCGAAGTTGGAAAGGTAAATCTTCTAACAATTCTGGCAACGTATTTTGTAGAAAATCCAAATAATTTTCTCCAGTTAATCTTCGTAGAAGTATGACAGGACCAACAATGAAATTACCAATTATTCCTGCCCACACATTAATTTTGAATTCGTGCTGAAAATGGTTTACCTTTATTGCATGCGGATTTTCAACGGCATAAACATGTTCATTATGGGTATTAGTTATACCTCTTCTTGTAAAACCCGCTTCATCGGTAAAGAGAACCTTCTTGACAAAGTTTGGATCTCTTTCTCTTTGCATATTAACAAATCGACAAAAACCCAAACGAATTTGAGGATCATGGACTAATAATTCTTGTACTGGCTTCTTATGGTATGAATATAGCAATTTTTCTCTAATCACTTTATGAACGACGTCTTTACTTACTCCTAGTTCCCTTCCAATTCGTCTGATGCTTAATTCTGGATCTTCTTCAACACGTTCTAAAATGTCTTCTTCAACTTCAGGAATCCTTACAAAACGTTCTCTTCCATTATCAACAGTGTTGGGAGCAAAGGAACCGGTCTCCCGAAGACGTCTCTCAACAGCAGTAAAAGTTGGATGGCTAGGTACACGACGATTTGGAAACCTTTCAGAGTACACCCTGACACTCTCTCGAGCATTTCCTTCACAAAATACTAATGTCAGTAACTTATCGGTATATTCTGCATTGGTATATTGTGCAGCCATATTAATAAACCACGCATTTGTTTTTTTAATTATTGAGTCAGATAGAACACTTTCAATCGTTAACAAGAGATTATGTGTTAAAACTTGACAATATTTTTATTTAGATGAAACTATGGAAACCAATAATAAATGTTTTGGTATACGTATTGCAGGCAAATAATTAATATTCCTCAAAAAATCGTACATGGCAAGAATCGAGTATTTTTGTTAAAAGTCTCGATTAGAGGTGTTGAAGAAGATATGAAAAAAGTACATTTTTATGTTTTTCATCGTATAAAATTTTGTCCGATAATAATACATAGGCGTAGAACTTGATTTTTTAAATAAATAAATAAATAAATTCTACGCCAATGGCAAAAATAGGGTTTGAGTATGAAATTTGGATTGGGTACTCATTTACTACAAAAAAGTACCCTTGATAACACTCGATTTACTCTCATGGTTTTGACAAAGTTTGTATTTTAATAATTATTTTTTATGTTCTAAAATTACTAAAATGCAAATTTCGTCAAAACCATGAGAGTAATCGAGTTTTATCAAGAGTACCTTTTTTAAGTTGCGCAATCTAAATTTCATACTCAAACTCCTTTTCTTCCATTGGCGTAGAATTTTTAAAGGTGCAATTATTTAAAAAATCAAGTTCTACACCTATGTATTATTATCGGACAAAATTTTAATACCATTTTTTTGCCACATAAAACTCTACTAATATACCAAATTTCAGCATTTTTTACATTGAGTTTGGGTACTTTCAGAATTTGTTCAAATTTTCAAATAAAAGTCCTAATTTCATACATTTGCAACTTTAAGTTTGAATATCTTCAAAACGGCTCACTCTATGAAAAAAATATATTTGAACTTTTTGTAGAGCGTTCAATTTCCTACCAGAATAATGTTTCACTTTATTTTTACAATGCTTAAATATCAAGCTACAAAAATAAGAAAAAGAAAATTTTTTTTTTCATGTTATCTAGATGGAAAATGGAAAGTTACAAACAGGCACCACTAAATGATAATATTAAGAGCTCAAATTTTAAGAGACTTCTTTTTTCACCTTCCTGAAAGTTTTAAGCCTGTTTTTTAGTTGAAAAAAAAAGTTGCTCAAAAATGAAACACCCTAAGCCCCACCTCACTTTAGCGTCGCTGTACGGGACTATCTGAATAACGTATATCGAAACCATTGGAGGTCCAATTGCCTGGCCTCCACGGTCTCCCGATCTAACGCCAATGGATTTTTACCTGTGGGGTCATCTCAAAATCTTGGTGTATTTCTCTCCGGTTGATACTTGGGAGGAACTTTTACAGAGAATCACATTTCATTGTGATGTGATAAGTTGGACAAATCCCTTCCATACGGCGCTGGTAGCAAACTTGACATATTTCTACAAGTTGACAAGACCTAACTTAAAACTTACTACGCGGGTATTCAGAATTAAATAAACCATAGATTTTATTTAATAATTAACACTAAACTAATAGCTATTATATATTTCCTGCATGTTTTATCAAATACCCTGCATATAGAGTATTTACTAATATTATAATTTGATCAAAAATTTAAGGAAGAAAAGGGCACAGGATCAATAAATAAAATAAAAAAAATTAGATCTCAACTGAATGATTCATTCGTTTATTTTGTTTTAAGTACATATTAGGAGGGTCTAGCCATTTGAAAAGCTATCTTAAATACTGATAATTTATAGTTTATTTTTAACATCTATATCTTTTCCATCACGTTTCGAAAATATTCTCACAAAATTTCATCGAGTACATAATAACAGAAACATATTAAAAAGATCGATAGATCCGCTGTTTATTGTCTTATTACAACAATTTATTTTGAATTTAGCGACATACAGGGTGCGAATTACGTCTCAGAAATACTATAATTAATAAAAAAAGAAAATAAGAATTTTTTTAATTCATCATTTTGACTCTTTTTTAAGTACGTCACTGTTTTTTTTTTAAATAATGACGTGTTTAACTGGAGCATACTTTTTAAGATAAAATACTGTGAAAATATTCAAGAAATATGACTGTATACATAACAATTTAATATTCTATAAAGGGAAAGGAATTGATATAGGTATGGTTTGGGAAAATTTTGGAAATTTTTTACTTTTTTTTACTGAAAGCTTCCTTACCAAAATATTCGTTAAATTTCAGCCCGACGAAAGGTCAAATGGGCCCACTACACCACCCGATTTAACCCCGTTAGATTTTTTTTGTAGGATCTTTAATTCATATATGTGTCAATTTATTAACTCATTAACACATCGTTTTCTGTAATTTTGTATTATCCTTGTATCTAGAGAGGTTTTTTTTATTTGGTAAGCCACTAGGACAATACATCTCAACGTGAGATATAAATTTACAAAAAAGGAAAAATATCCAATATTTTCCGAGGAATTTTCTTTTTTTAGCTAGAAAAGGATGTATATGGTCGAGGATTTACATATTTATTGTACACACTTCAGCCATTTATAGGAAAGTATAAATTCTATAATGATATGTGCATACAACATTCTTACATACGCCATTTTTTTTTATAATATATTTTCTCTTATACTGTTTTGAACGTTCGAGAATGTTATAATTCATACGCTAAAAATTTCGCAAATTCATTTTAGTCGTATACATAAATGGTTAGAGAATTGTAAAAAACCAGTGTGAGATTAAAAAACGATTTAAAAAACATTGTAATAATTCAATAGAAAGTTATTCTAGCGATTAAAAAACAGCGATTTAAATGCAACGATTAAAAAAGATTGCGATTACAGTCAAATTTAATCGCTTACAAATTTAAAAATATCAGTTAATCGCTTAAATATCAAAGCGATTAAATATTTCGGATCTATTGTGATTAGAAATAAGTTGAGATATATATATATATATATATATATATATATATATATATATATATATATATATATATATATATATATATATATATACTTGACCAGCGTATCATGTGACATCCGGCAAAAATTTTGACTTTGTGACATCCACCCTTTGCAAAGACTTTAGGGAAAAAATAAAAATATGACTTCTTTTAATTAAAAAAATATTATGGCTGAGCCAAAAATATCACAACCATACACATTTTAAAAAAATAAAACGTCATATCGTTGTGAGATCCAAAGTATACACGGTATATATTTTTATTAACAACACTTTGTGACATCCAGAAAAACCTTGCATCTTGTGACATCCAGTTGTTACGTCAGAGTATACCATTTCTACAAGAAAATTGCTATTCTTGTAACATCCAGCAAGTATATAAATACATTTTTGAATTGGGCACCTTATTACATCCTAAAAACTTAACACGTTTAACGCCAAAGCACACCCTCAAATTCTATGATTTTTATTGTTTTTTTATTCCAATGTGATTTCTTTAGTTGTTTTGATAAAATAATTT